TGATGTGGTGCTCGTGCCTAATCGAGAAAAGACTCAATGCATAAAAGAAAGAAAAACGATATTCTAGTAGCTGGCATGGATGCTACACCTCCGCAGAAGTTCTGGTCCAAAAGTTGGAACAATTGATGCCAGTGACTAAAGGAGGAGCTCCCACGGGAAATCTAAAAAAAATGTATCGAAGCAGCAGTAACAAGCTGCTCTCCTGTTGTTGCGGGTAAAGAAAATACAAGTCTGGTCATAAAAGAAGCAGATTCTGACATGTTTGAGAACCAAACATTCCAAGTCCATACCAGTGAGCACCTTTCTAATGCACCAGTCTGCTGTTGCCAACCAGTTCGGAATTGGCTGTGCACCAGTGTAGAAACTTTTTTTGTCCAGAACTCTCCAAGTCCTATTACTTGTGTACACTCTCACATTGTGGTGTGAGTGCAGATTTTGTCACTCGAGATTATGTAGGCTAATAGCTGCCCGAGCCTGCCCAAGACAACTGATGCACTGGTTTCAATGGTATGTGTCTCCCCACACAGCTCTCCATGTTGTTTGTGTCAGGGTTATTTTTCCTGGACTCTTGATGTGTTGTCGATGCAGTCCTGCTCAAATACACCACCCACACACACAACGCACATGAACACGTTCATATGCTCAATGGAGCTGCACGATTTAAAATGAAGAGTTTAATTTTGAAGGCAAAAAGCTTCACCAAACACTCAATAAAGATAATAATAATTTCACAATTCCACTTCAAAGCACCGCTCTGACTCAAGGCTAAAGCCACACTGTTTTTGTCAACCGCTAATGATGGGAGATGGTAGACTCTTTCAGCACTTAAGCAATGGTCTTGATTGAACAGAAGCATATATGCACACACACACACACACACATACAGACACAGTAAAGCCTAAAGGTACACAGGGGCATGCAATTAGAGACAGATCAGAAAGAGTAAGAACAGCAGAGTGTTGAACCATGTGAGGAATAGAAAGTACAAAGTACCACTTCTGTCCTACAACTCTACTGTTTCTTTTTATTATCAGTGATTCACAGGTTCAGATACAAAGGCTATGTATGTAGAATTGTTTATCCTGTTCCAATACTGAGGTCTATACAAATCAATGGGAGGAATGTAGGAATTACAGAGATTGATCCCTATGATTATAATGAAAAAAACAACTTGCATGAGCTAATTTGTGTTGGGCTCCCAGGAAAACCTCTGAAATTCCAGTTAAATGAAAACCCATCAAGCTAATTGGATGGAATTAGACGAGTTTACCCTTGGACATTGCTGTGGTTGCACTTTCTCGATTTCCATTAAAAAAAAGATCATAAAATATACACACCGTACATATTACACCATTAGTACTGTTCTGACAGAGGCAAACTGCCATTGGCAAAGTGTATGGGGTCCATATTGCAGAGAAATTTGATTTTGGCAAAGACACATTCACCTCAATGGATTCACCAACACAACCTCTCTGGACCTGTCAAATGAAATGTCTAAACTCATTTCTTTGTACATTTTTTTTTAAATTACAGACTGATTCATTCGTAAAACTGTCGTATTGATTTCAAGGCCAAAACACTTGATGACGCTAAGGCACACAACTGTGATTATGTCCCTAACGTCTGCTGGTGGCTGCTAACACCTAATAACATCTTCTGTTAGTAGGTAACTTAAATTGTGCAGAAGACCTTCAACCATACAAGAGATATTCACCATCTAGTCCAGTATTCTAAAATCTATCTTCCCCACACAGTTGTTCACCTTGAGAGTTGTCAGAATTATTGCCTTTTTTCTTTGCTCCTCTCCCCTGACTTGACCGTGGGTGTTGAAAAATGCTTAAGTATTTTTTTCTGAAATATAATCAGAATCTAATTGCAATCATCAGTTGTTCACATGTATTACTGACTAAAATCAGCTTGGGCTGGTAACTCACAATCCTCATGAAGCTCATTAGCTGAGTTTTGATGATTAAACTCTTGGTAATTTACAAGTAATTCTTTTTTTTTTTCTGAACTTCAAAGCAACATTAATCTATTTGGGTTTTTTGCAGGGAGAAGCAATCGGGCCAGTTGAGCAAGTTGAAAACACGCTCATGTTAAGTAGATGTGTCAAATGAATTAGCAAATAGTTAAATGCTCCACCAGGTTTACAACCTAATTGCTCACATTAGGAATAATGCAAACAGAAATAACGTCTGAGGACAGATTTGGCCTTGAGTTGCCTAATTTTCACATGTGACATTCACTAGGTGGAACTGAGCGATTTGAAAAAGTGAAAAATGTTCTAGCATGGTACCCACTGTCTGGATGTCTTAGGTAGGGCAGATAGCGTGAACTGGGTTTACTGGAGCTATACTCTGCTGCTAAAAATAAGGTTGATGAGAAGAACCCAACAAGGAGCTGAAAGACAATAGAGTTGGTTGTGTTCCTCTATGGGTTTGTCTCTACATGTGACAACTTTCATTAAGTAACATTAAATACATTTGTTCCTAATTCAGTGTTTTTGAATGTACAGTATTAATACCTGCAGATACATGTTACAACAATATATTCATACATGTTATGAATATGCCTCTCAATACATAATTCCTCTGCAGCCAGGCTATTTTCTTTCTCTCATGGATGCCATACTGCAGCCACGTGCTGATAACACTCATCACCTCAGAAGCACAGGGCACACAGACTGCATCCCAACACTATTGCCTTTGGCTTAACAATAGAAAAGCGAATTATACTTCAGCTTTGGGGAACTCTGAAGTGCCCACTGTGAAGTAGTGTCTCAATAGCGTCGCTTCACTCTCCTGGGATAAGGTACAGTCTCAAGGACGAACCTCTGTGACAAGAAAGTTTGGTCCCTCTTTGTCTCCTGTTTAGTAGAGGCTACAGGTCAGAGCTATGGGGACTATTCCTCCTGTGATAGTTCTATAAAGAAAGAACTGAGCCATGTAGCAATGGAGAATAATGGTAATTTGATATTCTTTTTTTTTTTTATTTATGCTCTTTAAATCATTTGTTTTTCATAAGACAGCCTGCCACCTAGCTAAAAAAAACAAAGACAACAAAGACAAAACCCTATAATTGATTAACTGGAGATTTCTGATGATGACACTATGGAAACAGAGGTTAAAATGTTTTTTATTTGTCTATATATAAATATATATATATATAGATTCAGAATAAAGTTGGTAGATATTGACTTTGACTGTTAACAGGGAAATCTCACAGCCTTTAGAAGGCAGATAGAGCTCAGCGTTATACTCCTCCCATACCCCTTTGTTTTTACCTGAGAAAGATCATCTCATCAGGCTACATACAAATAGCACTGTTCAACTATTTACTGTTACTAGCATGTGTGTACATATAAATCTAAACCTTTTAGCCTTCACACAACAGACACACTGCTCACTGTCAGCTGAATGTCAGTCAAGCGATACCATGCACTTGACTCAGATTAGTGCACAAAACAGCTCATTTGTTGAAAGCCGTGTACTGACAATGGATGCTTTGTCTGAAATCTCCCATTGAAGACAGTGACCTACCAGGAACAGAGTTATCCTGGCTGTGACCACAGTGTGATCACAGTATGTGTATAAATGAGTAAAGGATGAGGTAGTTCAACAAATGCATCCCCTTTTTATGGAGTAGAAGAAATGTTTTCTCTAAAAAATGAATCAAGAGTGAGTAAAAGAATGCTGCATTCAAATTGCTCCACCTAACACAATTTAAGTAACCTAATTATGCCGTGGGTATGCAGAGTAGCTTGCCCCTGCAGGAGTACATCAGCTCATATTGACTTAAAACTCATCACAAATCATTACTGCAGCCGTTTTTAGACCCGTCCTGTTGAGGATCTCATCAGAATTGGGTTCAGACTTTCTCCTGCGATTTTGTTTCACACATGCACAATGCAGCGGCGGGTTCTCTGCTCAGATGCAATCCCAACAACAAATTCTCAGCAGGCATTCAGGTAATGCAGCAGGAAGAGGCAGGATGTGACATATAATTCTACTGCGGCGATCACATGATTTTGTTTACAAAACATTGACAACTGCGTCGGCTCTTATCACCACAAACTCTCTTGGCGTGTCATCGCCTTTTCACCCGGAGATATTTCTTTTCTTTTCTTTCTTTTTTTTATTCCCCTGCTGTTCGCTCACATCGACTTGTGCAGACTTTCTATGGACTTTCTATTGCAGAGCTTGGCAGAGAAAGTCCGTAGAAAGTCTGGAGACCCTCACTCGGCAATTTGCGCTCACACATACACTTCCTTTACAGTTTGGGTCATGTCTGAAAGCAGGTTGATATACGTTAGTCTCCACACGGACGATGTTTACTTTGTCTTCTAATGAGGAACACTGTCATCTTGAAAACGTTTCTCCTTCAACGGCTCATTTAACCAGTTTCATTTCTGACTGCATACAAAATAAGAATTAGCCTTAAAACGATATCACCCCACTCTGCCTCCACCCAAAGACTTAGACATTAGCGTGGGGATCATTTTCATTACACATTTGTAAAAGTAGCCTGTTTGTCACCAGGTTACTATAGACAAGAGTAGATTCTTGTTAATAGTCTGTCCCTTCCCCTCTTATTCTGCCGATATACTGCAAGCAACAAGGCTTGTCCAAGGTTTAGCATTTGAGCTTTACTTGTGCACTGAGTGTTCCAGGTGTGGTATAGGAGGGGTTGGGTTGGGGTCACTGTGCTGAGACACGGTCCATCTACAGCCTGGTAAGATAACAGATTCCCCAGGAGAGTGAGAGCCAGTCAGGCAGAACAGACATATAAACTACTGCAGCGTAAAATAAAGGGTCATCCTGCCCAGCTTCCACACACAGGAGGTGAGCGGCTTGTGTGTTTGTGTGTGTGTGTGTGTGGACCTTTTCTTCAATGCTGTGACTTGTGTGTTTGTGAGTGTGGGTCTGCATTACTTTAAGATGAATATACATGACAGACTGATGTGTGTGTGTGTGTGTGTGTGTGTGTGTTATCCAGCTTACCCTTTAGGTGGATCTTATTTTCTGGGCTGTGTACCAACACAGAGCTAACTGAATCCAAGCTGTCGTAGTTACTGCAGCCGAGAGGACCCGTCCTTGTTTCAGTTACCTGGGAAACAGAGGAAGGACAGATTAGGTACAGAGTGTATACACATTTTTTTTACAATGCCACATTAGTAGAGAATGTCCAAGGATGCCCCCTGACTGCAGAAAAAAACATTATTTTAGTTCCATTCCCTCACCCACAGCTGCCTGAAGTGAGCCGGCTGTCTCATGGATGATGGTAAGAAGAAGCGAGAGAGACATGTGAGAAAGAGAACAAGTGCAGGTGTCTGTAAAAGATGAAGCAACCAAATTGCGGACAGAGTTGCATTGAGTCGAATGCCTTTTAGCAGTTCTGTGCTGTAATAGAGGTCTGATAATGACCATGATTACATGTGCATGAGGACTAAAGTAGACTGGTGGGTGCATCAGTCAGGAATCACGACGTTTGATATTTGCTCTGCATGATCACAATGCTACATGGCTTTTGACACAGCATGAGGATTTGCTGAATTATTTTGTCTGATCACTAACGTAGAAGACAGCAAGTGTAACTCATTTTTATTTTATTTTCTGCAATAGTATTGACCTAAGAAGGAAATAGCCTGTGAAATCAACTTATGTACAGTATAGTCACGTTTTACAAAAATTGCTTCCTCGCTTATCCACCAATTGCATATCATGATCAGTAAATTCCAGTCATGTTTCCAGTCAGCTGGTTGATTTAAGTCCAGCCTTGACTTTCCTTTAGCTCTATTCCAAATCCAGAGGGAAATATATCTGGAAAGTTTCACGGCTAAACGTGTTACTTTGTTCACCAGCTGTTCTCACTAACTGCGTGTCTGCTGTTTCCTGTTACAGTTAGTGTATTATAGGTTTTAAGAGCTTCTTCAAGACGGTGGGCTGCACAGCTAAAATGTGCTGAAAAGCTTTCTGTAAAGTTCTGTAGAGCTGAGGGAGGCTGCAGTTAAAGGGTAATCATATTTTCACAATGTTTCACCCCAAAAAAATGATAATTACAATCACTTTTACAGAATCAGGCATTATCTTGGTTTGATTATCAGATTGAAAATGTTGAAGTCATTTTGCGATACAGATGATACCATTGTTCCTCTTGGAAGGATTGACCTTGTTCAAACACTTTTCAGAATCTGCACACACACTAATCCTCTGTAAGCATGTGTTGTTCACAGATCTCCAAGAGCAGACGTCAGACAAAAAAGTCTCTGTTGGTGGAAGAAGGCAAAAAGAAACTTGGGAGAAATAAAACTCAAACTCAAAGAAACAAAACAGGCAAAAATAAAGCAACATGAACAAATAAATAAATAAACCGACACATGAGGAAGCAGCAGGGAACAAACGGATACAGATGACTGCAGAGCGCAGAGACATAATACACATTGGAGGCAGAGATAATTGAACACGGGTGAAATGCAGGAGGGCGGGGCTGAAAAACTGACGAATACAGGAAGTTACACAAACAAAATACATACAAGCTAAGTCATTTAAAGGTAAAACATGAAAAAACAAGTTAGGGGTCCATACTACTGTTTCAAGTCCAAACACAGACTTTCAGAAAGTCCAAAATGTCATTTAGGTTCAGATCCTAACGTCTGCAGTACACCACATGTGCTTTTTATTATCGCTCACATGACACAGACCTGACCATGGATGAAACTTACTTCAACGCTGTATAAACTGAATGATGACTTGAAGGGGACGCCTTCATGTAATATCTATATTGTTGTTTGTAGACTAAATGATATTTTCATTTGAAGCGAATACTAGATGCCTCTTTACCTCACAAAGACATGCAGATGTGTTTTTCCTTTCACCAGATTGCATGTTATTTTGTTTTCGGTAAAGTATTGTGTAACCCCACAACCAACACCATCCCTGCTCCATCATCTCACTTTGATATTACAATGTTATGTATCTCAACTACTACTGATCAAGATGAAGTCAAATTCCTTCTATATCTCAAATAACATCACTAGATATTCTTCCTTTGAAGAAAATGTTCTGGAGGCAGAACAGAAAACAGACTTAATGTCTTTTGTATTAAAAAGCAGCATTGACAAATCTTTTAAAGAGGACAGAACCTCACCTATATTGCATCAATATATATATATACACCAGTGTTGGCCCTTATCAAAAGCTCCCTTGACCTCTTTGTGGGTATTTTCAATGTGTGTGGCATCACTTTTTCAGCCGGAGATATTTGTATTCTTTTTGTTTTTTTCATTTGTGCTTCGGTCGCGTCTGCAAAGCGTCATCAGCACACCCACTCGGATAATCTCCTGCTGTGCTCTCACAAGAGAAACTTTGGCGAATGTGCTGAGGCTTACTTTCTCCTTCAGTAAGTTCAGCAAGTTACAAAAACACTGAGTTACTCTGTACGCTGGAGAGAATACCCCTGAAATGTCTACTTTCAAGGTCAATGAAATATTCATTATCAACAATCTGACCCGGATAATGGTGCAGCTGAGATACCATGCATGTCATGGAAAATATGATACTTTATCAATACCCTGTATGCTGTGGTTGATGCTTTGCTTTAAAGCTGCTTTAGAGCTGCAGTTTGTGGGGGCAGACGAGAGTGAAAAGTCAAGTGTATAAGGAGACAAACGATACAGGGAGAGACAACACTTTCTAAGATAAAACTCAACACTGAACAAACAAAAAAAGTCAAACTAACTAAATTAGCAAGGATTACAGCAAATTCGGAATGAGTTATCAAGATAGGACAATTAGCACTAGAAGATGGATGTGGCCTCCGGCAAAGCCATTCTACAGCGAAATCACTCTTTACAGCAAATAAAGCAGCCTGAATTTGCCGTCGTTAAAACAGCCTCGTTCCTCCTCACATCTTCACACTCGCTCTTGCATTAAGATCGCATCTATTATCAAAAGAAACGTTACCTTCAAGGCACTTTGGAAGATACGCATCTCGAACATCTCTCGAATAACATCTTGCAAAGATGGACTTAAAGATTAGAAAGTGAGGAACGAAGGAGGATTAGTGATTTGGGTTGGTGTTCAAGACACAGATGTGGTCAAGGATTATCTCTGCTTTAAGAATGAAAGGAAACTGTTGCATCTCATTAAGGTTTTTGTAATGACGACGGAAAAAATCCCAAGGCTTACAGTTCTTAAAGACAAAATCAAAATCAGATAAAACAAATCTAACTGATAGAGCATGACTGTGTACTTATATACAAACACTCATGTTCTTGCAATGTTCAAAGCCAAAAGGAACCAAATGTGTCTGATGAATTCAGACTTGGATTCAATTACCAGACTTTGGTTTCCAGTTGAGAACAGTGTGAGTAGATAATATATTTTGGACTTTAAATGTGAGGATTTTCCATTTAGAAATGATTGTGTTTTTGTCTGTAATGGGTCGTGGTATGAGTCACAGCCATCATCCATCTGGATGATGGCTGTGACATCCATTGTATAGTCTAAAGCTCACTGGGCAATGTGTTTGGCATCTTGAACGACCAGAGTAGCTTGGCTACAACAAAGCGTGGCTTCGATTGACTCAAGGACTTTACGAGAACCACTCTGCACTTTCCTTTTTTGTTTGCACAGTTTTGTAACCCAGAATTTTTCTACTGCTATTTGGTGATTTTCAATTAATTAATTTCTCTCCTTCCCTCCATTCATCCTTCTAACCCTTGATCACATTTGAGGCACAGAAATGTTCTTGTTTTTACACCGAGATCAATTTAGCTCAAATTAAATTCAGCCCGTTAAAGTGTGCTCAGACTTAATGTGCAGGTCATTTTAGAGGGAGCACGTTGCGTTTTAGCTCCATGCAAAGATGTGAGTGCATTTTCAATTCATCTGCCGCATACAGTATTTCCCTTACTGATTCAAATCTCACAGAAAGACCAATGAAAGGGTTCAGGCTCGGACCCCAAGATGTCTCTCTTACTAATATCTAGCTGCTGGGTAAATAATCTTACACACTTAAATCAAAGAAAAGAAAAGAAACATGTACATCACTTACAGTTATTCATTAATTCAATACCACAACCGAGTAAAGTGATGCAACACTGTTTCTATTTCTGCTTTACCATTATTCTGTTTCTATTTTTTTGCACTTGTCCAGCCCTTAAGTGGATTTAAAAACTGGATTTAAATGGCACAAAAAAAACAATGCTTTATGGTTAAAGCTAGATAACCATGCAGGAGTCAGACTTCCAAAGTCCCTAAAAGCACCACATTCACTGCACAGCAGTTCTTTTATGGTCATTTGAATAACTGCAAAAAAAATTATAGAGGAGCAAAGTGTCTCTGTGTGGTGTCCCTGCTGATTTTGGCTCTCAACGACCACAGCGCTGTGGTAAAAATACTTTTCCTTCCTCTGCGTCACACTGAGCCGGTTCCTCACTCGTTTCCAACCAAGCAGATTTCACACAGATGTTACAGAAGGTCTTTATTTGTCTCACAGAGAGCTGTAGACTAAAGTAGATGACTGAGGTCCACTCAGTTGCTGGAGATAAAGATAATGTATTTTGCTCCCACCTCCTACTAGGTGCTATAGCGACACAGAGCCCAGAGGCGTACATGGACACAGGTCAAGTACACCCCACTCAGTGTCTCTTCCCCTCGGGTGATGAGTTGATCTGGCAGACCACGGCACAGCAGGTGGCTTGCATACCTGATATCCTCATTTAGCAGAAACAGGCAGAGGATGCGCCTCGCTAAGTGGGAGTAGATTGTGTTTGTGTTTGTTGCGTGTTTGCGCTGCTCAAAGTGTGTTTGTGTGGGCAGATCTGCAAAGTCTCTGGGTGTTGGCTGTTTATGACGGAAGGGTCTGTTTACCTGTCTGTCAGCCTGATAGCTGTACTCATCAAAGACACGTAAACCAGTTATTTTAAGGACCTTTAGTCTCTGGGTTTTTTAATATTATTATTATTATTTGACTGTTATTACAGCATTAGTGCAAATTAGAATGACTAATCATGTGTGTATGTTCCACTTTTCTTATTCACTAAAAAAGTAGGTAGTTTCTGCAAATAAAGGAGGAACTGGTTAAAGCATATGAGTATGCATCCA